AAACGATGTCATATAGCTACACAGAAATTCCAACTTACTTCATAGAGATATGAAACCCAAAATTATAGTCTAGAACCAAATCAGCACCATCTCATTATTCAACGAAGGACTGGAAAATAAATTTAAGGGGGCAAAATATAGCAACAACGAGACAGCATACCGCCAAAACTATCAACTTGAGTGCTTTCCGAAAACCCGAAACCTTTCCATTACTATCAAAAGTCGACTCCCATTTCTCCGGCTTAAGCATTTTGCTTACCTGCAACATTAACAGCACAAAATCCCTATCAAGATAAAATTAAAAAAAAACCTCACCGATAACACGAAATCTTATGAAATAAAAGGTCTGAGCAGTCAATCTTACAGTTATAACAACCTTTATAAGTGATTGAGGAAGACAAGGCTCTCATATCCTTCCCCATTGTTCCTACTCTCTGTAAATTCACCACCGATATCGCTTTTCCACATTTCCATTGCTTCTCCTCTCTCTCTCCACCAGACATCTACACCAAAAAAATCCTCCTTTTCTCTCTCTCTCTAATTATTTTTCTTAGTCCTTCCTAAATATCATCGCCGTTTAATTAAATGACAAACTCAACAACTGCAATTGCGAAATCAAAATTAATGAACCCTCATTAACTGATTAATTTGATTAATGATGAAAAAACATCGAATTTAAATAAAAAATACATGAAATTAATAGATTAACTGGAAATTGGAAACGTCGATCGAAATGGAATAGACATGCAGCAATGATCGGATGATCCGAGCAAAATGTATGTACGCATGAAAGAAAAAAAAAGGGTACAAATATACGAGTATGAAAAAGAAGGTATGTGTACGAATACGTACAAACGTACGGAGAGAGCACCTGGAGAAGAAAAGTGACATCGCGGAGAATGGTGAGGACGAAGAAGATAGGAGGAGGAGGAGGAGTTTGTTGTCCTCCGTCGCCATTTACGAAGAGTTTTGTTTTTTTTTGTTTTTATAAAAAAAAAGAGAAGAAAATAAGAAAAAGAAAAAAAGACCGTTTATTCTTATCTCTTTCTAGTTTTTTATTCTTATTTTTTCCCCTGAATTTTTTTTTCATTTCTGTTTCATTTGTGAAAAGAATGCTTTCTTTTTTCCTTTAGGAAATACAAATTCTAATATGATTAATTTATCCTTTATGTTTTATGTCTAAGGGTGTCGGGTCCTTTAAGATTGTATGCATACATATATTTTATAATTATGTTATTTTAAATTAAATCTAGTTTGGCTTTATCAATTTTAAAATTAATTTGATTGATTGATTAAATTTTAATCAAAATTTTATTTAATTTAAAAAAAATTAATTTTATTTAAAAAATATAAAAAAATCATTTTGAATTAACTTAAATTAATTAATAACAACCGGTTTATATATATTTGTGTTTGGGCATGAATAATGCTCATGAATTTATAGAATTCAAATGCATAGTTTTAAAATCCAAGTAATGAGTTGGTTTATTAAAAATAAAAAAAGTTAAAATATCAGTTAATTAGTGAAATAACTTGGTATGATGTGGTGGGCTCAATTATACTTGATTATTTTTTTAAAATTAAAATAATATTATTTTATTTTATAAAAAAATTAAAATTAATTTAATTAAAATCTATAACCGGAGTCTTGAATCGGTCAACCACGACACCTGATTGAAAAATACTGTTTAAATGTACGTTATTACAGACCGAATGAAAACTCATGCTGTCCAGGTTGGTTTTCATTATATATTTCTTTTTCAATCAGATTTTTCGATAAAGTTGAAAATACCACTCCATTTATTGTCTGGATTTAGGAGAATAAAAGAAAGAGATGAAAGAGAGTAGCTTTCCTTGGCATATTGAGTTGAAGTCAAAGTCATTGTTTTTTCTATTTTTGAAATCTCATAAAATGCGAATTTCCCCTCTTAGCTTCAGTTTCTGTGATCTCTGCGTTCGCATTTGCCAGTGTTTCTGGAGGGAAACAATCTTTGAGCTTTTAATGAGAGCTCACGAGGCACTCCTTATTACAACTGCATCACTTTGAGTCCGAAATAATTGTGCAGAGGGACATTGTTCTTGCTTGACGGTGTTATAAGCTCTGTGCAAGCCCAACTGTTTGCAGGCAGCCAATTTATGGACCTATTTACTACCTCCACTGTTAAAATAAACTATATCTTGATTTTTCTGAAAAACAGAACAACAGTCCACCAGTTAAGAATTGATTGACCATTTCAAAGACGGTTGAGAATCGATCACATTCTTAGTGAAACTGAGAATAAGGAGTTGACGGAATAAATGGGGTAGCTCACCGGAGAACAAAATTATCAAAGGCACAAAGCAGGGATTTGAAGGGTTTTGCCCCATGACTACAACAGGGATTAGCTGCAGTGTTTCTTGAGGCGATGTGATTTACTTCTGCAGGGAAAAACTATGGTCGTGACGGATTTAAATCACTCGTTCCCAAGTACCTAAATATATACACTCATTTCTCTCTGGAAAAGGAAGAAGAATTGGAGCCAAATAAGGAATATGAAAACCAGCTAGCTCCCATGAACTAGTCGAGAGCAGTGTTTATGTTCATGGTAGGATGGTAGGGGTGCCCAAAAAAACTAAAAAATTAAATTATAGAAAAAACAATTAAATAAATTAAAATATTTAAAAATTTAACTAGTTTGGTTTGATATCAATCTAAAATAAAAAATCAAAAAATTAAACCAAACAAAAATTAAGTCCATTAAAAATCACAAAAATACCCCAAAATAATATAGTTTTTAGTTTTTAATATAAAATAACTAAACCAAATCAAAACCAGCAGGTTGAATTTTAATTTTTATTTTAAAATAATAGAATTGAATCAAAACTAGTTAATTTAAACTAATTTTAACTTTTTAAAATTAATTTAATTATTTTTTAAAATAAAAATTAAATCAAATTAAAAATAATCACCTTTTATTATTCACAAATACGAAGGAATTTTGTTGATTAGCCGGATGAGATTTCCAATGCCGAAAATTCTGGCTTCAATGAAGATGAATACGAGCATATCAAATTCTTCTACAGTTTAGAAATGAAAGCTAATTTGTATTTTTAAAAAAATTAATTTTTTTACTAATTTTTTAAATCTTTTTAATGTATTAATTTTAAAAATAAAATATTATTATTTTAATATATTTTTAAACTAAAAAAATACTTTTAAACTATAATGCATTATCACAATTTCAAACAAATTATCATATAGATTTTTTTATTTCAACAGCTCGAAACTCAATTCGCTCAAATGTTGATATAACTTTAATTTTTCCCATTCCGCAATCAAATTTACAAGGAAAACTGTACTTGCGATTTTGTTCAACAGGAAGACCGAAAACACAGGCAATCTCGATCCTCTTTTTTTTTTTCTTTTCTCTTCCTCTTTTTTTTTCCTTTTCTTTTAAGTTTTTTTTTTGGTTTTTTAGATGTAGAGCCTTTACTGTACCCAAAGCAAATATAAATTTATTTTTTTAGATTAATATAGATGTTCGGAACAATTTGCATATATCACGACTAATCTCATGAGTTCTGAAGTTAATAACCATGTAAGTCTCTAGTGGTCATTATATGAGTAATCAAGAACTCAAATCTGAAACCACAGAGGAAGCAAGCCTCTTGATCTCAAATCCTTACCACTTGATCACCATCTAAATAGTTATTATAATATAAATTCATTTTTTCTTATATGGGTGATCATTTTTATAAAAATAATTAAATTAAAATTTATAAAATATAATAAACAAAACTGAATCTAAATCAAAACAAAACCAGTTTTAATAAATTGATTTTGATTCCATTTGGTTTTGATTTAGTTTGATTTTGATTATTTTATATTAAAAAATTATATTATTTTTTGGGGTTTTTAGACTTTTTCGTAGGCTTGATTTAGATTTGGTTCGGTTTTTTATTTTTTGATTTGGTTTAGTATATTTTTAATTAAATCGGTTCAATTTGATTGAAAGTTTTTTTATTTTAGATTTATAAAATCAAACTTAAATTGAATATTTTTAAAATATTTTAATTGATTTAATTAGTTTTTTAAGTTTTTTTAGTTATTTGTTTTTTAATTTTCTTGGTTTAATTAATTTTTTAATTTGTTTTACTTACCCCTAATTTCTTTTTAATTTATTAGTTATTATTTATAGGATAATAATAAGTGGACGATGAGTTAAACCTGATTAAAAATTCTAAAATCCAATTAACTTTATCATTTCTGATTATTCAATAATTTAACAAGTCTAAAATAAATCACTCTATGTCAGAACTTAAGTCATGTCTAGAAATGATTTATTGGTCTATATTGGGTTAATTGAATTCAACCTCGATCGTAGATAAGGTCCTTAAAAGAATGTATGCTTATTGTTTGAGATGGAGTTAATTTGCCGAAGAAAGGGATGGAGTTTGAGAACAGTCAACCGGACCTTAGCTGGCAATTAATCGGACCTTAAAAACATTTACAAGTCCGGTTGACTTCACTTTATTTCCCTTTTTTATCTACATTTATTGATTTAAACATCAAATTGTATTTTCTTTTAAGAACAAATTTAAACATGATACTGGAAGAAATGTTGTTGCCACTTCATAGTTTTGATTTATTTTCTTTTCATTTACTAGTTTTTATTTATGACATTTTTATTTAGATTATGTTTTATTTTCTCATTTTTTGTTTGAGATTATATTTTATATTCTAGATTGAGATTTTTTAAACAAGATTTTTAGAAACTGATTTATTTTTTTTTATCTAAGGTTTTTTTAATTTTTATATATAGCATTCTTATGTAGATTATTTTTCATTTTCTTTGGCAGAACCCATGAAGCCCCCACCCCGCGTCCTCCCTCCTGCTGTCTCTAATTTTGCTTGTAGTTTTAGTCCCACCACCACAAGCGGCTAGAATTCTTACCGTTTTTTCGACAGTTTTTTGCGTTTCTTATAAATTCTTTCCCAGTCTTCTCAAGCTTTATACATACAGAACAGGAAAACCATGGAGAATAATGCTCGAGTTATCAAGGGTTTTATTCTTTCGATTCCAGAATCTGTGTCCCGGCTCTGGCATAGAGCACGACAACTAGAATCACAGCAGCTACCACCTCCCACCATGAACCAAGGAGAGGCTGAGCAGGAAATGGAATGGCAAAAGGTTCTTTTAAGAAAGAATCTTCTCTCTCTGTGTTTTAATCCATATATAAAAGCACAAACCGAATGAAAAGCTGATGGTAAAAAACCATAGACAGGTCCCAGGCACTCATAGTTCGGCATGAAAGCCATAACAAGAAAGAATCAGCCAATACTGAAACAATGCCAATAACACAGAAAATCTAGCATTAAGACTCCCTCCACATTTCAGAAAATAGAAAATCATTAAAAATGACTTATTCAGTTCATCAGTTAATGTGGTTAAACAATGAAAAAAGAAAAAAAAACGTAAATACCTCCTCGCTGTCCTCAGCTGACTCCGGGACTCGGAAGTGGTTCCCAGTGCATAACAGCCAAGTAGAAATTCCCAAACTTCTGGCCTAATAGATGGATTCCGAATTTAGGTGAATATTTGGGAGCGTGGATATGATTATTATTTAAAATATATTTTATATTAAAATATATTAAAATAATATTTTTTTATATTTAATTTTTTTTTGAAATTAGTACATTAAAATTATCTAAAATATTAAAAAAATTAATTTTTTTAGAAACACGGTACATTTACTAACACTTACTACATTTGCTTGTCCCTAATTTTTGTAACTTTAGGTTATGCTTGAAATTTTTGATTTAAAAATATATTAAAATAAAAAAATTATTTTTAAAATTTACTTTTGACATCCACACATCAAACCAATTTAAAAATATAAAAAATTATTATAAAAAAAAATCAATTTTTTTAAGAATCCAAACATACCCTTAACCGCCTATGGTACAACAAACACAAAGAAAGGTGTGAGAATGGATTTCAAACTAGAGAGCTATATATATATACATATATATAAAAAAACTAACACTTAAGTCGATAATCAGTTCAACAGGAAGACCAAAAACACAGGCAATTTTGTTCCTCCTTTCTCCTCCTCCTCCCTCTTCCTCGACTTCTAGTTCTTTTTTGGATGCAGAGGCTCTGTTGTTCCCAAAGCACTAAATTCATGCTTCCGTAATCTATCAGTGGCCTGTTTACAGGGTAACGGTAACGATGAGTCGCGTCTACTTGTAACTTCCAGTTAGTTTTATCATTCCTAATTACTTGATGATTTAACAAGTCTAAAATGAACCACTCCATATCACATGTCTAAGAATGATTTATTGGGCCTGTGTTGGGCTAATTAAGTCCATAGATAAGGCCCATAAAAGAATATATGATTATTATTTGGACAAGAAAAATTAATCCATTTATCTGAGATGGAAGTTTGTCACCAACCGCATGTTGGTGTTTGAGAAAAGTCAACCTCCTTCAAGTCTTTATTCTTTAACCATCGAATAAAGATGTTTCGCCTCCTGCAAAGTCGAGTCTAAGGGAAAAGATGGAAAAAGCGTTATCGTTGCTAGAAGATTCTTTGGGAAGTCGTTGTTTTCAAGTCCAGACATTTTTGCTCGGGTATGTAATCATGGATTTCCAGAAACTTAGGGGGGTAAGGGGGCCGCTGATTTTTCCAACTCCTATTTCAAAACTTGTATTTTTTAATTGAGATAACAAAACCCACCATCTCACTGCCAATGCATGGAAACTATTGAAGATAATGCACAATGGGTTGTGATTTTGTTATGTTTGGGGGTGTGATTTTGAGGAGGAATTTGCTGTCCACAATAGAAATAATAAATAGAAGAAAATACTTTTTATTTTTTTTATTTTTGGGAGTGTGATTCTGGGGTGATGAAAATATATTTTTTTAATATGATTATTATTGTTTTTTAAATTACTTTTTGTATTTAAATGTATTAAAATAATTTTTTTAAATAAACACGTCAAAACATATAAAATAAATTATTTTATTTAAGATAATTTATAAATTATTTTTTTTCAATTTCATTCTCATTCAACCTTTTAATTTATAAAATTTATTTCTTATTATTTTAATAAACTTAACAAAAATAAAATATTAATAAATTATTTTTTAGTCTATTTTGCATGACATAATCAAATACTAAAAAATATTTTTTTTTCATTTATTTTTTATTATACTATCAAATATTAGAAATTATTTATTTAAATAAAAAAATTTAAAAAATTTTTTAACAAATAAACAGAATTTAAATTTAAGAAAAAAGAATAATAAGGGAAGGAGTTATTGTATAAAAGCTCACAAGCAAGACGACGACGACGACGACGACACAAAATACTCAGGTGGGGCAGTGATGCTTCAGCGCCACGAATGGGGTGATGGCCCAAGGAGTTTCCGTCACTTTCTTTTCTGCTGGTATTAATAAGCTGGCAGTATCAAAAAGGTATTACAATCATACTATTTCTACAGTTAAAATAATTTTTAAAAAATAAAAAATATTATTTTAATATATTTCAATATAAAATATTTAAAAAAAAAACATCCCCAATTATATTCCTCACAAACCATAAAGAATGGTGATCGAGTTATCAAAGGTTTTATTTTTTCAATTCTAGAATCTGTATCCCGACTCTAGCATAGAGCTGGACAACTAGAATCACTTTCACATGTTGTAATCTTATAGGACATGTGCGAATACCTTAAAAGACAATCTGGTTAAACAAATTGATACTGTAATTGAGCTTAGAAAATGCAAATCAAACCTTAGCATAGTTCATACCAAAAACCGCTTTGAAAGACAAAAGAGGATTTTAGATTTTGCTATTGTTGTAGTATCATGATATTGTTAATAATTATCATAAAGGAAGTGCATAGTTTTTTTGTTGATCTATCAAGAGACTTTAGATTTTATAGATTTTATTTTTTTAATATGAAATTGATTAAAAGTTTTGTTTTGTAATTTTTTTTTAAAACACTATATATTATTATAGTATTTTTCCATATAGATTTTTTTTATTATAATATTTTTTTTAATTATTTATTAATTTTATTTTTTTTAATATTGAGCTGGTTGGGAATTACAGTTGTGGCTGTTTTAACAAAACACTAGGGATTGCTATAGTGTTTCCCACATAATTTTTTTGTTTTTAATTATTTTTTTTTAAATTATATTTGTCTATGTTATTTTTTTAATATTGAGTTGGTTGAGAATGCATCTTTGTAATTTTTTTTTAAAATATTTTGGATTATTATAATGTTTTTTTATATATTTTTTTTATGTTTTTTTTTTGTATGATTTTTTCAAAAATTATATTTGTTGATTTTATTTTATATTGAGATAGTTAGAATTTAGCTTTATAATTTTTTTAAAACATTCTGGATATTTGCTGATTTTATTTTGTTAATAGTGAGCTAGTTAGAACTTAGCTTTGTAATTTTTTTCTTTAAAATAATGTGGATTGTTATAATATTTCTCCACATAGTTTTTTTTTTTGTTATGATTTTTTCAAAATTATATTTGTCAATTTTATTTTTTAATATTGAGTTGGTTAAGAATTACAATTACAATAAAACTAAATCACGTGGAGAAAACACTACAACTTTCCTCATAAAACACCATGGATTGCTACAATGTCTTCCCACATGATTTTTTTAAAATTATTCTTATCGATTTTATTTTTTTAATATTAATCTGGTTAAGAGTTACAATTACAAATTAGGCTAAATCATTTGGGGAAGTATTATAACTTTCCTTACAAAACACTATGGTACAATGTTTCTAACATGGTTTTTTTATGATTTTTTTTAAATTATCTTTGTTGATTTTTATTTTTTTAATATTGAGATGGTTGAAAATTTAACTTTGTAATTTTTTTCTTTAAAAAACTGTAAATTGTTGTAGTATTTCCCCACTTGTTTTTTTTTTGTTTTTTTATAATAAGTTTTTCTAAAATTATCTTTATACAATAAAGCTAAATCATACAGGAAAAATACTATAGCTTTCCCCATAAAATAATGTTGATTGCTATAATATTTTTCTATATAGTTTTTTTTGTTATGATTTTTTTTAAAATTATTTTTTGATTTTACTAGAAAAAACATTATAACTTTCATCACAAAACACTATAAATTACTATAATATTTTTTTATAGTTTTTTTAATATTTTTTTTATAGTTTTTTTAATATTGAATCGATAAAAAAATTAATTTTTTTATTAATATAAAAAACTAAATCATACGAACAAATCACATTATGTTTCCTCTGTAAAGTCTACTGCCAAAATTCAAAAAAAAATGTCTCATCAACAAACATGTTTTATATGCCCACTCATATTATCATATCATCTAGAGAGTCCACAACTCTTGATGTTGAGTAGTGGGCCCTTCTAACCAGTTTAGGGTCTATGTTATTGCAGTCTTGTTGTGTCATCTCATGATTGATGAACTCCTATCTTTTTGGTGTCAAAAGACAGAAAAGCAATAAAAACATGATTAAACTGAGAAATTTTAAAAAAGTTTATTGAAAAAATTAAATTATAAAAAAATTAATTAAATTAATTAAAATTTTAAAAATACCAATATGTTTGATTTTAGTTTTATAAATTTAAAATCAAAAAAATTAAACAGAATTTAAATCAAGCTAAACATAAAAAATAGAGTCAAATTAAATCAAATTAAAATAAATTAATTTTCACCCATTTTAATTTTTTAATTAATCAATTAATTTATTTAATAAAAATTAAATCAAATTAAAAATCACCACTGATGCTTACACTTGACATCATTAAATTTGGTTTGGTAACTGCATCAAAGCTAGTTATTTTCAAAATCACATTCCCAAACATAACAAAATCACAACCCATTGTGCATTATTTTCAATAGTTTCCATGCATTGACAGTGAGATGGTGGGTTTTGTTATCTCAATTAAAAAATACAAGTTTTGAAAGTTGGAAAAATCAGCGGCCCCTCTTTTCCCCCCCCCCCCCCCCCAACCCACCCCCCCCCCCCCGCAAAGAACCTCATCAAGCACCCCCAGTCTTTTTCCTCGGCGCTCTCAAGAACCTCACCCAGCCCAGTCTTTTCAACAGTTCCTTATAAATTCTTTCCTAGTGTTCTCAAGCTTTATAGCACACAGCACAGGAGAACCAATGGAGAATGGTGCTCGAGTTATCATGGGTTTTATTCTTTCAGTTCCAGAATCTGTGTCCCGACTCTGGCATAGAGCAGGGCAACTAGAATCACAGCAGCTACCACGTCCCCCCATGAACGAAGAAGAAGAGCTGGCCAACATGCTCCATGCTCAGCAGGACATGGAATGGCAGAAGACGCTTATAAGCTTCTGCTTCACATCAGGACTTCAAATAGCCCTTCATTTTCACCAAATTACTGATTCCAAACTCGATTCCTTGCATTTAGTCTGTGTCCTTGTTGCAATTATCTTTTCTTGCCTCTTTGTTTCACATTTTATCAACCCCGCCAAGTTTCCGAGGACATCCAAAGTGTTGGGTACCCATGAACGAAGAAGAAGAGCTGGCCAACATGCTCCATGCTCAGTAGGACATGGAATGGCAGAAGACGCTTATAAGCTTCTGCTTCACATCAGGACTTCAAATAGCCCTTCATTTTCACCAAATTACTGATTCCAAACTCGATTCCTTGCATTTAGTCTGTATCCTTCTTGAAATTATCTTTTCTTGCCTCTTTGTTTCATATTTTATCAACCCCACCAAGTTTCCGAGGACATCCAAGGTGTTGGGTAAAGTTTCAGTTTTCCTGGCAGCCACCGTGTTTTTCATCACCATTTCAATCCCATTCCCCCCTGGTGTCAAGTGGGCTACTTGGATAATCTATACCATTTCGTTGCTTGTTATTGCCATGTGCAATTTCTGCTACTAGACACGAACTTTACTGGGCATACATTTTTTCTGTCAGTGTTTGTATTTGTTCTTCATAATAAGGCTTGCATTTTAAAAACGAACATGTTGTTTCGTTGCTGCGTGTCGGTATTTTACTTAAACATCATATATCAAAAAGTTGAACACCAGATTCCTGGTTTTCCCCCTCCTATGTATATCCAAGCATTTTCCAATAGAAAAGCACTCAAAAGTGCATGATCTTAAGCTTCAATTTCAAGCATAACAGCAGCGCAATGTTGCATTGACTGTTAATTTAACTAGCAAGATATTTTCATCCTAATTACATCATCTTGAAAACTAGTTGTTTTATTATCACTTGGTGCTTGAATTAACCTGGCCAGATCTAGTGGATCGATCGTTAAATAACTCTTGCAAACTTCAAATTCTTGGGTCATCCTTTTTTTTCCCCTACCCATTATCCGTTTCACGAAATTTGGTCTACAAAGTGGAGAAAGAAAAAGTCCCGCACTTCCTTTATTATGATTATTAACATGATCATGATACTACAACAACAGCAAAAACTAAAATCCTCTTTTGTCTTTCTGTGCGGTGTTTGGGATCAACTGTCCTCTTTTGTCTTTCTGTGCGGTGTTTGGTATCAACTATGCTATTTGCATTTCCTAAGCTCAATTGCAGTATCAATTTGTTTAACCAGATTGTCTTTTAATGTATTCGCACAAGTCCTATGAGATTACAACATGTGAAAGTGATTGTTCTGTTGTAACTATAGCGTTCATCGACCGAAATTGAATGTTCACATTTTATGAGATTATCATTTTTCTAAATTTGTTTTTGTCATCCATATTTGCAGCAGCAAGGAAGGGAAGCCTGGTTCTTCTCTGGTCTCCTCAAATGTGAGATTTGACTCCCGGGAAGCAAATGTCTAAATATTTGGTTGGTCCGTTTACGGTGAGCAAACCTACCAGTCCAGAGGACATAAAGTTAATCCAATATGTCTTTGATTCTTCACTGATTGAGAGGTCAGATTCTTTTTCCCCAAGTTATTGTTTGCTTAGCTGAATGCATTTAAGCTCACCACTTGACCTATTCTGTACCTGTTTCTGCTAGTGAGACTATTGTTCATTGCAAGAATTATCATTTATCTCGGAGGGAACTATACTCACTGAGACCACAGACCTGGCTTGATGATAACGTCCTTTCTACGATATCTGATGCCATATCTTTAGTTCAGAGGAAGATGGAAGATTCTTTAAATTGGTATCTGCCAATTGTTTTTGCGGTAGGTTCCTAGATCATATTTGTACAATTGACATCTTATTCTGTTCAATTTTACAAGTCCACGACATGAAAAAACAGAATTTCCTTATACTAATGTGTTGTACAGGAGAATGCAGATGATTCATCTAAGTGTATTTCTTTCACGAAAAAGCACAGGATCAAGGAAAACTACATGTCAAATCTTTTATGCTGTGAAAAGTTGAAGTTTGGTTTTCTTTAGTCCAATTAATGCATCCCATGCTTAGTTATGCTGTGAAAACTGTATTTGCAGGCGTTTGTTCCTGTCATTTCTTTCTGTTTGTTCTACAATTGAAAAGGCAAGTTTGTTGAGATATAGGATTCATTTGCTGCATCAAGTCCAAGTGAATGGGTTGACAGGCGACTGCATAAATTGGTAAATGGCTGCATACGTTATGAGCTATGGCAGATACAAGACCGGGGCAAGAAAAGAAGATAACTTTCGTTTCGGTCCCTATAATGGATCTTGAAAAAAAATTATTCCAAACGCAAAAAACTGTGGAAATAGTATGGATCTGCAGAAAACCCTTTTGTTGCAACTAACAGTTTTAAATAAATTGGCTTTTGTCAATTAGGATATTATGTTTTTTTTAACCCTGATGAAACTTCTTGTTCTTGTAGCCTGTAAATGTAACACCCATGTAACACACGGAGAGATGAAAACTGATGGAGCAAAGTGTGCTAGAGGAAGCTTCCTCGTTAATTATATCAAAATTAGAAGTCTAGTCAAGATTGAACTTCTTTCAAATTTAGGCAGGACAATCCAAATGCACTTGAAATTCTCAGCCACTTCTGTCTCGTATGGATCATTACTCAATTAAGAAAACCTTGTTAGCGTTTTTTTAAAGTCTCGAAAAGCACAAGGATGAAATTGAAAACAATTAAACTATGAGAATAGAGGGAAAATATCAGTAAATTAAAGGGGCTGAAAATAATTTAGTTTTGAAGTGAAAACTGTATTTGCAGGCGTTTGTTCCTGTCATTTCTTTCTGTTTGTTCTATAATTGAAAAGGCAAGTTGTTGAGATATAGGGATTCATTTGCTGCATCAAGTCCGAGTGAATGGGTTGACAGGCGACTGCATAACTTGGTAAATTGCTGCATACGTTATGAGCTATGGCAGATACAAGACCGGGGCAAGAAAAGAAGATTAGCGGGTTTTTTTCATCTCACCTGGAAAGTTGAGATGAAAAAAATGAATTACTTTTGTTTCTGTCCCTATAATGGATCTTGAAAAAAATTTATAACAAACGCATAAAACTGTGGAAATAGTATGGATCTGCAGAAAACCCTTTTGTTGCAAATAACAGTTTTAAATATATTGGCTTTTGTCAATTAGGATATTATGTTTTTTTATTTACCCTGATGAAACTTCTTGTTCTTGTAGCCTGTAAATGTAACACCCATGTAACACACGGAGAGATGATAACTGATGGAGCAAAGTGTGCCAGAGGAAGCTTCCTCGTTAATTATTATCAAAATTAGAAGTCAACTCATGATTGAACTTCTCTCAAATTTATCCTCGTTTCAAGGATTCAATAACAAGATTGAGCTTATAAATTTAGGCAGGACAATCCAAATGCACTTGAAATTCTCAGCCACTTCTGTCTCGTATGGATCATTACTCAATTAAGAAAACCTTGTTAGCGTTTTTTTAAAGTCTCGAAAAGCACAAGGATGAAATTGAAAACAATTAAACTATGAGAATAGAGGGAAAATATCAGTAAATTTAAAGGGGCTGAAAATAATTTAGTTTTGAAACCCAATGCCAAAAGTCAACAAGTCAACCTCCTTCAAGTCTTTAACCACTCCTCATCGTTCCACTTTCCAGCCATGGACAAGATGATCTGAGGAGTGAGAAGAATTGTTGCGGACAAAATTGTCGAAATACAAATGGATTTGGAACATTTGTCTTGCGTCGATGATGATTTGCCTCCTGCAATGTCGAGTCTATGGGAAAAGATGGAAAAAGCGTTATCGTTGCTTAAAAATTCTTTAGGAATCGGCCTGCAAAATCTCCCTTCCAAATTCTACGCTTCTTGAATATCGTCAACTGGAGGGTCCGAAAGGGCTTTCATGTCCAGAGCTTTTTGCTCGGGTATGGAATTGTGGATTTCCAAAATGGACCTCAAATGTACGTTATTACAGACCGAGTGAATACTCACACCTATCAGATGCCATCTCTTGTGGAGTAAGGGGTATTATTGCCTTTCTGTAACACCCATGTAACACACGGAGAGATGATAACTGATGGAGCAAAGTGTGCCAGAGGAAGCTTCCTCGTTAATTATTATCAAAATTAGAAGTCAACTCATGATTGAACTTCTCTCAAATTTATCCTCTTTTCAAGGATTCAATAACAAGATTGAGCTTATAAATTTAGGCAGGACAATCCAAATGCACTTGAAATTCTCAGCCACTTCTGTCTCGTATGGATCATTACTCAATTAAGAAAACCTTGTTAGCGTTTTTTTTAAGTCTCGAAAAGCACAAGGATGAAATTGAAAACAATTAAACTATGAGAATAGAGGGAAAATATCAGTAAATTAAAGGGGCTGAAAATAATTTAGTTTTGAAACCCAATGCCAAAAGTCAACAAGTCAACCTCCTTCAAGTCTTTAACCACTCCTCATCGTTCCACTTTCCAGCCATGGACAAGATGATCTGAGGAGTGAGAAGAATTGTTGCGGACAAAATTGTCGAAATACAAATGGATTTGGAACATTTGTCTTGCGTCGATGATGATTTGCCTCCTGCAATGTCGAGTCTATGGGAAAAGATGGAAAAAGCGTTATCGTTGCTTAAAAATTCTTTAGGAATCGGCCTGCAAAATCTCCCTTACCCTCACTTGTGCGTCCCAAATTCTACGCTTCTTGAATATCGTCAACTGGAGGGTCCGAAAGGGCTTTCATGTCCAGAGCTTTTTGCTCGGGTATGGAATTGTGGATTTCCGAAATGGACTTCAAATGTACGTTATTACAGACCGAGTGAATACTCACACCTATCAGATGCCATCTCTTGTGGAGTAAGGGGTATTATTGCCTTTCTGGTCTTTGATTCTGCTGCACCCATGCATTGTGTTGCTGTGTTGGAGCTTGTGACCACGGAGGAGAAACAGGATTTTGATTTAGAGACGGAAAAAGCTTTCCAGGCTCTCCAGGTTTGTTTTCATTACATATATTTTTTCAATCAGATTTTGGATGACGATGAAAATACTACCCAATTTATTATCAGGATTTAGGAGAATAAGAAAGAGATGAAAGAAAGTAGATTTCCTTAGCACATCGAGTTTGAAGTCAAAGTTATTGTTATTTCTACTTTCGAAATCTCATAAAATGTGAATTTTCCCCCATTAGCTTCATTTTCTGTGATCTCTGTGTTTGCATTTGCTAGTGATTCTGAGGTGAAACAATCTTTAAGCTTTAAATTAGAGCTGACGAGGCATTCCTTATTACAACTGCATTAGCTTGACTCCAAAATATTTGTGCCATTAAATTATATGTGCAAAGAGACATTGGTCTTGTTTGATGGTGTTATAAACTCTGTATAAGCCGAACTGTTTGCAGGCTGCCGATTTACGGATCAATTTACAACCTCGATTTCGTCCTGAGGTATTTATCAGTAGTACCTTACAGTTTTTTCTATGCTAAATTAGGTTGTCTTCTGCTTTGTCTAATAGAAATTTTTTTCCTAGTGTTTTTCAAGGGATCAAAGAGTTGAGTTAACAGAAATCGCTAATGTTGCCAGAGCTGTATGCCAAACACACAGATTGCCACTTGCTCTGACATGGATTCCCGTGATTATACCTGGGGAGCTGTTGATGGTATTTCAAAATCTCATGTCAGATTATGTAATTTAGGTTTTTTGAGGACATGTGAACTTTCAATAGAGCGTACAGCTTGTTATTCAGCTGAGGACATGCAAGGCTTTGTGAATGCTTGTGAGCAACTATTTCTGAACACAGAGCAAGGTGCTGCGGGACAAGCCCACCGAACATATCTTCCTTCCCTTGAGCCTGATGTGAAGGAAAAACATGTAAGCGAGTATCCTCTTGCTCATCACACACGAAAGCATAATTAGAATGCTGCGGTTGCAATCCTGCTAAGGAGCACTGATGCTGATTATATCTATACATTAGAGTTCTTTCTCCCTATCCTCATGAAACAGAGTTCAGAGCACCAAGACTTGGTTAGGAATCTGAAGCTTACTCCACGGAAAACTTGTAAGAGCTTGAGAATGTTTTCGAAAGAAGAATTACTCGGGAACGAGGTTCTAAAGTTAGTAAAAACAATGATAAAATTGAACCTGCTCCAGATCCTGATGGTAATATATTCATCATATGTGCTGATAATAAACGACGAAAGGTATCTGAAGTGTGGAAATGGTTGGATAAGGTTATAGAAGAAAATTGTGCAGTATGGGCCATATATAAAGGATGCAAAAACAAGTATACAGGGGATAGCAAGAAGGAAACTTCAAATCTACACAAACACTTAAACGTTATTCAAAAAATAGACGGAGAGATGCAAAAACAAATATGTTTGTCCAATGGCGAAGATATTGAAGTTATCTAGCATCACCTACTAAGGACACCACTTGTCTGACATCACATGATCCAGATTCTGATGATAAGTTCCTGGGATTCCGTGAGTGGCATAAGCAGAAAGATGATGGCGATGTGGTTGCTTCACAAAAACTTGATCTTAATCGGTATTTAGGAGAGCCTTTGGAAAACCGGGATAAGGTTATTAGCTTGGTGGCGAGTCATTACTCCAAGATTTCCAGCACTTGGTGAATCCAAAATGGCTCGTGATTTCTTAGCAATTCCAATATCAGCTATTCTATCGAAGTCTGCTATCAGCGGTGCAGTTGCATTCAATGGTTTCAGGCCAGAGATCATATAGATGCTTTAATTTGCGGACAGGACTGGTTGGAAAGCCCTGAAAACAATTGAGTTCTTCACTTTCTAGAGACAGGTGAATCCAAAATGATTCTTCCCCCTAAATTTCTCAACATTGTTTTCCCGTTTTTTTTCCTGCCATTATTGGTTAATGAAATTTGGCTGCACAGTCACACTCTTCCCTTGTAATGCTTCTTAACAGGGTCATGAGGATAAAACAATAGCAGAAGCTAAATTTGATATGCATTTCCTAAGCTTGATGGTGCAACGTTGATAAATTATAGTACCAATTTGTTTAACCGGATTGTTTTTTTAAGGTATTAGCATATGTCTTACGCGTTGACAACATGTGAACGTGATTGTTCTGTTGTAACTATAGTTTTCGTCACCCGAAATTGAATGGAGGGCACTGAACATGTAACCAATTTCGATAAAATGTTGACATTTTATGGGATGATCATTTTTCTCAATCTGTTCTTGTCGTCCATATTTGCAGGAGCAAGGACGGGATTTCTGGTTCTTCTCTGGTCTCCTTAAATGTGAGATCTGACTCACTTGTGAAGCAAATGTCTAAATATCTAGTTGGTCCGTTTACAGTGAGCAAACCCACCAGTCCAGAGGACTTGAAGTTAATCCAATACGTCTTCGATTCCTCACTAAATGGTAGGTCAGAATTTTTTCTGAGAGTTCTTTTTTGCTTAGCTGAACGATTTTAAGTTCACCTGTTCTATACTTGTTTCTGCTAGTGAGATTGTTGTTCAATGCAATAATTATTATTTAACTCGGCGGGAGTTATGCCCCATGAGACCATAGACCTGGATTGATGATAACGTCCTTTCTACATTCTTAGCTCATAGATACTACATAAAAGGTTTTTTTAGGCCCATATTATATTGTATTGATCAAGGGTTATACATAACACCGTGATTACACTGAATTTCAACACCTTACAACATGCAAATGGAAGCCTTGTTACGAAGAACAAATACAAACACTAACAGAAAAAACATATGCCATGTAAAGCTCATGTCTAGTAGCAGAGATTGCAGATTGCAATAACAAGCAACGAAATGGCATAGATTATCCAAGTAGTCCACTTGACACCAGGGGGGAATGGGATTGAAATGGTGATGAAAAACACGGTGGCTGCCAGGAAAACGGCAACTTTACCCAATACTTTGGATGTCATCGGAAACTTGGCGGGGTTGATAAAATGTGAAACAAAGAGGCAAGAAAAGATAATTGCAACAAGGATACAGACTAAATGCAAGGAATCGAGTTTGGAATCAGTAATTTGGTGAAAATGAAGGGCTATTTCAATTCCTGATGTGAAGCAAGTGCTTATAAGCACCTTTTGCCATTCCTTTTCCCGCTCATCATGGGGATTGTCGACCAGATCTTCTCCGAGACGTGTTAGCTGCTGTGATGCTATTTGTCGTGCTCTATGCCAGAGTCGGGACACAGATTCTGGAGCACCATTCTCCATGGTTTTCCTGTGCTGTATGCTATAAAGCTTGAGAAGACTGGGAAATAATTTATAAGAAACGAAAAACACTAAAGCACAATTGCCCAAGAGTTTCCTGCAGCTAGAGTGGATTTATATAAGGCATCATCCGACGAGGAACGTGACAATGGCGGAAAGTGACAATGACGTTTTTTCCTCTGGACCATCTCAATCACGATGCTAGAAATACCATAAAAGTTGTCCGATGAGCAAAGTGACAATGACCTTTTTTCCAGTGGACCATCTCAATCACGATGCTAGAAATATAATAAAAGTTGTCCGAGGAGCAAAGTGACAATGACGGCAGTGACAAATATTATTAATAATATTAATATTAAAAATATTGTTTTATGTATTATAAAGATTTTTAATTTTATTATAATTACTATTTTAATATAAAAATATTATTATTAAAAATAAAATATTTTAATTTTATTATTATTAATATTATTAATATTGTTATTTTTATTAATAATATTATTAATAATATTAATTATAATAAAAATTATATAAAATAATATTTTTAATGATAAAATTATTAATTATAATAAAAATAACAATATTTAAATACAAATAATAATATTTTGAATATTAATAATAATTTTTTAATATAATTAATATTATTATTTCTATTATAGATATTATTATTTTTATTTTTATTATCAATATTAAAAATATTAATATTACAAATTATTATCAATATTAAAAAGTTATTATTAATATTTAAAATATTATTATTTCTATTATAAATATTTTTATTTTTATTTTTATTATCAATATTAAAAATATTATTATTTGTATTATAAATTTTCTTATTTTTTTATAATTAATATTATTAATATTAAAAGGAAATTCTGTTTTTTCATTTAATGGACTTGTAAAATTGTACAGAATAACATGTTGTCCAGAATAACATGTCGGATGTCAGATCAAGGCATGTCTGTGGTCTCAGTGAGCGTAGTTCCCTCCGAAATTCTTGCTCCGAGATAAATGATAATTCTTGCTCCGAGATAAATGATATTCTTGCAATGAACAATACTCTCACTAGCAGAAACAGGTACGGAATAGGTCAGCTGGTGAACTTCAATGCATTCAGCTAAGCAAACAATAAATTGGGAAAAAGAATTTGACCTCTCAATCAGTGAAGAATCAGAGACATATTGGATTATCTTTAAGTCCTCTGGACTGGTAGGTTCGATCACTGTAAACGGACCAACCAAATATTTAAACATTTGCTTCCCAGGTAAGTCAAATCTCACATTTGCAGAGACCAGAGAAGAACCAGGCTTCCCTTCCTTGCTGCTGCAAATATGGATGACAAAAACAAATTGAGAAAAATGATAATCCCATGAAATGTGAACTTTCAATTTCGAGCGATGAAAGCTATAGTTACAACAGAACAATCACTTTCACATGTTGTAATCTCATAGGGACATGAGATTTTCCGTTCGCTCTCCCCTCCCCTGTTCTTTCCGTTCCGCTCTATAAATTCAGGTGCCGGCCGGTAGGAGCACTAGCATAAAAAAAAAAAGAAGCAATATATGCCAGAGCCATTCTAGATCATACAAAGCTATAGAATTTCCAGTAGTATGACATCCAAAAATTTGCAGTACACAAAGCCTCCGTGATTCACTTCCACACTCCAATATCAACAATAACACGCCAAACCCACCTCCATATTTGTCTTCTTTATTCATATACGCACACAGATAAAGCTAATTATGCGTTTGTTTTTTAAGTTTTAAAATTACTTTTAAAAAGTTTATTATTTTACTTTAAATAAAAAAATATTATTTTAATATATTTTTAATTAAAAATACTTTAAAAAATAAATCCAATCACATTGCCGATTGAATATAAATAAAGACTGCCTTTTTTTGCGCGTATATAAAGCTTGAAATTTTTTGTTTTCTGGGTTTTGGTCAAAAAAGAAAGGGCTCTGATTTCAATGAAGGTTAACTATCCTAACCTCAACTTGTTTATTTTTATATTTTTAATTTTTTTAAATTAAATTTTTATTTTTTAAAAAATTAAATTTTTTCATGTTTTTATATTATATTATTTTAATTTATTAATATCAAAAATAATTTTTTTAAATAAAAGCAATATCAAAAATAATTTTTTTAAATAAAAACAATACAATTTTAATATATTTTAAAATAAAAAATATTTTTTTAAAAAAATTATATTCAAAATATTTAACTTGTGTTCAAAGAGATTTGATTCCTATTTAAAATTAGCTTTCAAAAAAAATATATACAAAGTGATTCAAATTAAAAAAGAAAAATTATTATTATTATATTATTATAAAAAACATTAAATGTTCCCAAAATACTTTAGACGTGCATTGTTTACTAAGCTAAATTTTGATTTTTTAAAAAATTTTATCTTTAAACTTTTTAATTGCTTATTAAGCTAAATTAAAGGTAATTAAATCAAATTTATTAGTTAACAAAGTTGAAAGATAGATGATCAAAATGGAAAATACATTATAAATACATTATATTCCGTCTTTAAAAATCTTTTTAATTTAATTTTAATATAAAAAAATATTTTTATTATTTTTTCATTTTTAATTTGAGAGGAGAAAGATAAAGATCATCCAATTTCAACTATTTAAAAAAAAATATTATTATTAATAATTTTAACTATCAAAATAGTTAATATTAATGTTGAGCACTCATATTAAGTTTTTTTTTTTTTGACGAATTATTCTGGGTCACATCCCTAAATCTACCCGCTTGTAAAGCAAATGTCTAAATATGTAGTTGGTCCGGTTACAGAGAGCAAACCTACCAGTCCACATGCGAAGCAAATGCAATAATATCATTTAACTCGGCGGAAGCCTAGTCACGAACAACCACAAACACTGACAGAAAAAATGTATGCCCAGTAAAGCTCGTGTCTAGTAGCACAAATTGCAGATTGCAATAACAAGCAACGAATTGATTATCCAAGCAGCCCACTTTATACCAGAGGGAATTGGATTGAATTGTGTTGTGTGTGGTCCGCATTATATAATAATGTCAATTGATCTTCTTTGAATTCAATGGTATGGGTATTGTAAATGAAAAAATGAAAAAAAGAAAAAGAAAAAAAGACACAAAAGAACAACTTGTTTTTAGCTTGTTTACTGTTGGATCGGGATAAAATTTTAATAGCAACTTCTAAATATGTTATTTTTTATTCTAAATGGTTGGATCGAAAATTACTAATTTTTTATTTTGACAAAAAACAGGATTGTAAGTATTTGTGAGTTTTTTCAAATAATTCTCCTTTAATCATGTTATATTTCAAGAATAAATTGTTTTTAATAATATATGTATTGTATTTCTTAGTTAAATCAGAGGAAGAATAATTATAAATTTATTATTTATTAATAATAAAAGTTTTTAAATAAACTATGATCCCATAATTTTTTCTGTATTACACTTTTCATGTTAAAATTTTAGTATTGATTTATATAATTATTTATATTATATTTCATCGATTTTATCATCAGCCAACCGTATGTTGGAGTTTGAGAAAGTCAATCAGACTTTAGATG